AAAATTAAGAATTATATGGAGTGAGGGCTTCCCTGGTGGCACAGTGGTTAAGAATCCGCCTGCCAGCTCAATATCAAAAAAACAAACAACCCAATCCAGAAATGGGCAGAAGACCTAAATAGACATTTCTCCAAAGAAGATATACAGATTGCCAACAAACACATGAAAGAATGCTCAACATCATTAATCAATAGAGAAATGCAAGTCAAAACTACAATGAGATATCATCTCACACCAGTCAGAATGGCCATCATCAAACAATCTACAAACGATAAATGCTAGAGAGGGTGTGGAGGAAAGGGACCCCTCTTGCACTGTTTGTGGGAATGTAAATTGATACAGCCACTATGGAGAACAGTATGGAGGTTCCTTAAAAAACTAAAAATAGAACTACCATACAACCCAGCAATCCCACTACTGGGCATATACCCTGAGAAAACCATAATTCAAAAAGAGTCATGTACCACAATGTTCATTGCAGCTCTATTTACAATAGCCCAGAGATGGAAACAACCTAAGTGTCCATCGTCAGATGAATGAATAAAGAAGATGTGGCACATGGAATATTACTCAGCCATAAAAAGAAACAAAATTGAGTCATTTGTAGTGAGGTGGATGGACCTAGAGTCTGTCATACAGAGTGAAGTAAGTCAGAAAGAATTGATATTTATAGGACACTCCATCCAAAAACAACAGAATACACATTTTTCTCAAGTGCTCATGGAACATTCTCCAGGATAGATCATATCTTGGGTCACAAATCAAGCCTTGGTAAATTTAAGAAAATTGAAATTATATCAAGTATCTTTTCCGACCACAACGCCATGAGATTAGATATCAATTATAGGAAAAGAGCAGTAAAAAATACAAACACATGGAGGCTAAACAATACACTACTTAGTAACGAAGTGATCACTGAAGAAATCAAAGAGGAAATTAAAAAATACCTAGAAACAAATGACAATGGAGATACAACGACCCAAAACCTATGGGATGCAGCAAAAGCAGTTCTAAGAGGGAAGTTTATAGCAATACAAGCCCACCTTAAGAAGCAGGAAACATCTCGAATAAACAACCTAACCTTGCACCTCAAGCAATTAGAGAAAGAAGAACAAAAAAACCCCAGAGTTAGCAGAAGGAAAGAAATCATAAAAATCAGATCAGAAATAAATGAAAAAGAAATGAAGGAAACAATAGCAAAGATCAATAAAACTAAAAGCTGGTTCTTTGAGAAGATTAACAAAATTGATAAACCATTAGCCAGACTCATCAAGAAAATAAGGGAGAAGACTCAAATCAATAGAATCAGAAATGAAAAAGGAGAAGTAACAACTGACACTGCAGAAATACAAAAAATCATGAGGGATTACTACAAGCAACTCTATGCCAATAAAATGGACAATCTGGAAGAAATGGACAAATTCTTAGAAATGCACAAACTGCCAAGACTGAATCAGGAAGAAATAGAAAATATGAACAGACCAATCACAAACACTGAAATTGAAACTGTGATTAAAAATCTTCCAACAAACAAAAGCCCAGGACCAGATGGCTTCACAGGCGAATTCTATCAAACATTTAGAGAAGAGCTAACACCTATTCTTCTCAAACTCTTCCAAAATATAGCAGAGGGAGGAACACTCCCAAACTCATTCTACGAGGCCACCATCACCTTGATACCAAAACCAGACAAGGATGTCACAAAGAAAGAAAACTACAGGCCAATATCACTGATGAACATAGATGCAAAAATCCTCAACAAAATACTAGCAAACAGAATCCAACAGCACATTAAAAGGATCATACACCATGATCAAGTGGGGTTTATTCCAGGAATGCAAGGATTCTTCAATATACGCAAATCTATCAATGTGATTAACCATATTAACAAATTGAAGGAGAAAAACCATATGATCATCTCAATAGATGCAGAGAAAGCTTTTGACAAAATTCAACACCCATTTATGATAAAAACCCTGCAGAAAGTAGGTGTAGAGGGAACTTTCCTCAATATAATAAAGGCCGTATATGACAAGCCCACAGCCAACATCATCCTCAATGGCGAAAAACTGAAAGCATTTCCACTAAGGTCAGGAACAAGACAAGGTTGCCCACTCTCACCACTCTTATTCAACATAGTTTTGGAAGTTTTAGCCACAGCAATCAGAGAAGAAAAGGAAATAAAAGGAATCCAAATCGGAAAAGAAGAAGTAAAGCTGTCACTGTTTGCAGATGACATGATACTATACATAGAGAATCCTAAAGATGCTACCAGAAAACTACTAGAGCTAATCAATGAATTTGGTAAAGTAGCAGGATACAAAATTAATGCACAGAAATCTCTGGCATTCCTATATACTAATGATGAAAAATCTGAAAGTGAAATCAAGAAAACACTCCCATTTACCATTGCAACAAAAAGAATAAAATATCTAGGAATAAACCTACCTAAGGAGACAAAAGACCTGTATGCAGAAAATTATAAGACACTGATGAAAGAAATTAAAGATGATACAAACAGATGGAGAGATATACCATGTTCTTGGATTGGAAGAATCAACATTGTGAAAATGACTCTACTTCCCAAAGCAATCTATAGATTCAATGCAATCCCTATCAAACTACCACTGGCATTTTTCACAGAACTAGAACAAAAAATTTCACAATTTGTATGGAAACACAAAAGACCCCGAATAGCCAAAGCAATCTTGAGAACAAAAAATGGAGCTGGAGGAATCAGGCTGCCTGACTTCAGACTATACTACAAAGCTACAGTAATCAAGACAGTATGGTACTGGCACAAAAACAGAAAGATAGATCAATGGAATAGGATAGAAAGCCCAGAGATAAACCCATGCACATATGGTCACCTTATCTTTGATAAAGGTGGCAGGAACGTACAGTGGAGAAAGGACAGCCTCTTCAATAAGTGGTGCTGGGAAAACTGGACAGGTACATGTAAAAGTATGAGATTAGATCACTCCCTAACACCATACACAAAAATAAGCTCAAAATGGATTAAAGACCTAAATGTAAGGCCAGAAACTATCAAACTCTTAGAGGAAAACATAGGCAGAACACTCTATGACATAAATCACAGCAAGATCCTTTTTGACCCACCTCCTAGAGAAATGGAAATAAAAACAAAAATAAACAAATGGGACCTAATGAAACTTCAAAGCTTTTGCACAGCAAAGGAAACCATAAACAAGACCAAAAGACAACCCTCAGAATGGGAGAAAATATTTGCAAATGAAGCAACTGACAAAGGATTAATCTCCAAAATTTACAAGCAGCTCATGCAGCTCAATATCAAAAAAACAAACAACCCAATCCAGAAATGGGCAGAAGACCTAAATAGACATTTCTCCAAAGAAGATATACAGATTGCCAACAAACACATGAAAGAATGCTCAACATCATTAATCAATAGAGAAATGCAAGTCAAAACTACAATGAGATATCATCTCACACCAGTCAGAATGGCCATCATCAAACAATCTACAAACGATAAATGCTAGAGAGGGTGTGGAGGAAAGGGACCCCTCTTGCACTGTTTGTGGGAATGTAAATTGATACAGCCACTATGGAGAACAGTATGGAGGTTCCTTAAAAAACTAAAAATAGAACTACCATACAACCCAGCAATCCCACTACTGGGCATATACCCTGAGAAAACCATAATTCAAAAAGAGTCATGTACCACAATGTTCATTGCAGCTCTATTTACAATAGCCCAGAGATGGAAACAACCTAAGTGTCCATCGACAGATGAATGAATAAAGAAGATGTGGCACATGGAATATTACTCAGCCATAAAAAGAAACAAAATTGAGTCATTTGTAGTGAGGTGGATGGACCTAGAGTCTGTCATACAGAGTGAAGGAAGTCAGGAAGAGAAAAACAAATACTGTATGCTAACATATATATGGAATCTAAAAAAAAAATAAAAAAATAAAAAGTCAGAAAAACCTAGGGACAGGACAGGGATAAAGTAGACCTACTAGAGAATGGACTTGAGGACATGGGGAGGGGGAAGGGTAAGCTGGGACAAAGTGAGAGAGTGGCATGGACATATATACACTACCAAATGTAAAACCGATAGCTAGTGGGAAGCAGTCGCATAGCACAGGGAGATCCGCTCAGTGTTTTGTGACCACCTAGAGGGGTGGGATAGGGAGGGTGGGAGATGCAAGAGGGAAGAGATATGGGGATATATGTATATGTATAGCTGATTCACTTTGTTATAAAGCAGAAACTAACACACCATTGTAAAGCAGTTATACTCCAATAAAGATGTTAAAAAAAATAAAAGAATCTGCCTGGCAATGCACAGGACATCAGTTCGAATCCTGGTCCAGGAAGATCCCACATGCTGCAGAGCAATTAAGCCTGTGTGCCACAACTACTGAGCCACGTGCCACAACGACTGAAGCCTGTGTACCTAGAGCCTGTGCTCTTCAACAAGAGAAGCCACCGCAATGAGAAGCCCACGCACCACAACGAAGTGTAGCCCCTGCTTGCTGCAGCTAGAGAAAGCCCACGTGCAGCAACAAAGACCCAGTGCAGCCAAAAATAAGTAAATAAAATAAATTTTTTTAAAAAGCTTAAAAGAAAAGAATCTTTAAAATAAAAAAAAAATTATATGGAGTGAATAACATCTCCCTTCATATCTTCCAATGTTAACCAAATTTAAAAAATAGTAAAAGTATATATGATGGTATTCAAATTTGACATATAGTACATGGTACACTAGACATGAAATTAATGACATTTAAGACTGTAAGTTCCCAGGAGGCATGAACCAACATTAGCTTTCTGTGACCAATGTTTAATATTGAATGTATGTACACACCAAATCCAAGCTCCTGAATGACAAGGGTTGGGGGAAATGACATTGAGTTTTTTAGCAATGACAAGAAACATATTTTTCAGGTAGGCGGTCATGTATTTCCTTTCCCACTTAGGAACACAGTTCCACCATGCTGCTCTTCCAGTGATCATGCTTCTCCTCCAGTGACAGATGTGATCCAGTCTCTATAAGCAGAAATTCTGGTGAAGACCGTTGGTGCGGCAGGATGGCAATTACTGCTGCCCCAGCTCACAATACCGATGAGCTTGTACTGCCCGTCCTGGGCACACTGCAGTGGTCCTCCAGAATCTCCCTGCAACCAGCAAAAAGAGAAGTTCATTCTCCTGGCTGCATGATTCATGGCTGACACTAACCCACAACTGCAGGAGATGATCCGACAGTATGTAAGTCACTCTCATCCCTGATTTCTGCTCATAACAGCATAGGGAACTACAACCACTGAGGTAGATGGCTGATGTTATAGATCTCTGAATCAGATCAAAATCTACATTTTCAAGGCGAGGCTGAAAGAAACATTTAGCATAAATTCATTTTATGCTGACAATAGACTGTGCCATGCAGAAAGTTTCAAGCATCTAATAAATATAAATGACTAAATGATGGTTTTGAGTTACGTGAAAGCATCTTTATATTTTCAGTGCTACTGGAAGTAGGTAGTTTGAGCTACCTAATACAGCTATGAAGTTGAACCACAAGAAATCATCATGTTTTTGTGGATCAAAAACAGTTGAAAGTTATCAGTTTCACATAGTTCAACCTAGCAATTGAACAAGTAATTCCTTTTGAGAATAGAATCCACAAAAATATCAAATTAGCAATCACAGTACATCAATTTAGCAATGTACTTACTCCTCTCACTTTTCATTTTAAAACTACCATACATTTATACCTTTTTATGGTCAGCAAACACCCATTCATGAGACACACTGAGAAGAAAACTCCTGCCCTCATCAATGCAGGCCTTCATTACCATACAGGACGATGATCCTGCAGCCCCTCCGCATATATTGGTGTTTTTAATATCCAGTCCCCAGTAGCTTCGACAAGATGTACTACTAATCAGTGGTACCTTTGCCTGCTGCACAGTTTTAGGAAATTCATCTTCTAGTAGAAAAGGAATAAAAACACATAGGCAAATGATATTAAAGGATAAAACGAAAATAGCCTTATATATACACAGACTCCAAGGGTTAAATCCCACCCATTCTCCCCTCTCAGCACTATAGTGATGCTGTTAGGTGACTTCTAAAAAACTAATATAATCACTCCACAGTGGCTTATACAACAGAAACAATGAAAAACATTTTATGTGGGTTCTTTTGTCTTTAGTCCTCAGAAGATATAAAAACATCACTTTATGAAAAAAAAGACAAAGTTTATACCCAAATCAGTTGTTGATAAAGCAAACAATATATATTTTTTACATATTAAGTCTATACTTTAATTCATTGGTTTCACGACATTCTCATTCTTTTGATTTGACTTCTGCTGAGCAGACATTCTGGTTAAGTGCTGACACTGACTGGAAGCTGACAACTGAAATTGCATTCTAAATAACTCTTTAGTTTATTGGATATTTGTAAGTAGTTAATTCATTTGCAGAATAGGGTGTATGTGAGACCAGAGTCATGGGTTTGATCTTTATATGGACTAGAATATCTGCACATAATCTTTCTACCCATTTACCTTTTTTTTTTAATTGAAGTATAGTTGAGTGATTCAGTTATTACATATGTATATTTTTTCATATTCTTTTCCATTATGGTTTATTACAGGATATTGAATATAGTTCCCTCTGCTACACAACGGGACCTTGTTGTCTATCCATTCTACATATAATAGTTTGCCTCTGCTAATCCCAACTCCCACTCCAACCCTCCCCTGCCCCCCTCCCCCTTGGCAACTACAAGTCTGTCTGTTTGTGAGTCTGTTTGTGTTTCATAAATAAGTTCATTTGTGTCATATTTTAGAGTCCACATATAAGTGATATCATATCTACCCATTTACCTTTTATACCAGCCTATCATTTCAGAAAAATGCCTCACAGCTTTAAGAATAGGCTCATATATCTTCAAGTATGGGTTTTCACAATAGAAATATCTACACTGTTGTGAAAACAATTATGTGTGTGTGTGTGCACTTGGGAGTAAATATAAGTGAAACACACAAATATTGATTAGGTAATAACATCACTAGATATTTAACAACACAGTTTTTAAAAGTATCAATGAACTTGTATTAATGAATATGATGGCCTAAAACCCAACCAGTCACCTTTAGGTCCATTATGAAAACATTTTTCCACTATCATTCCTATTAAAAATACAGAAAAATTGAAAATGAGTAAACATTATACTCAGACTTCACATATATTTGTTTGGATTCTAATCTTAGAAGAGGTTATAAATATATACTCACGATGAGGTTCAGTTATTCCCCATCCAGCAGTCATACATTTGGAAAGTAAATTTATTTTATCATCTTTCCCTGGCAAACAGATTGGAGATACAAACTTTCCTAATTAAAAAGATGCGAAAGAAAAACGCAAATATCAGTTAGTCCATAAGATTCATATTAACATTGTCTATACTGTTTGCTTTTCAGTGATGGCTTTAGAAATACCTACTTTGACCTAACAGTACCCTTTCTAACCCTGTAATTTAATAAAGTCTTCCAGAAGATTCCACCTATTATTTACTCAGAGGGGATCATCCCAATATACATGTTACCACTTTGCTCCAGGTATTTCCATATCCTCCTAGGAAAACAGAAACACATGCCCTACACTGAAATGTGGGGATTCTCATCCATAACCATTTTTTAAAGTGCATCTGTCTTTTTGCCTATGTGCCTTCAGGACATCACCTTGTTGAATTTGAGATGAGAGTGGAGAAGAATATAATTGTCTTCTTTTTAAGATTTTTATTTATTTATTTTCGGCTGTGTCGGGTCTTAGTTGGGGCACGTGGGCTCTCTGTTGTGGCGTGCCGGCTTCTCTCTAGTTGTGGCATGTGGGTTTTCTCGGGTTCCAGGCCACATGGGCTCTGTAGTTCGTGGCACACAGTCTCTCTAGTTGAGGCGTGCAGGCTCAGTATTTGTGGCACGTGGGCTTAGCTGCCCCGTGGCATGTGGGATCTTAGTTCCCCGACCAGGGATTGAACCTGTCCCCTGCATTGTAAGGCAGATTCTTTACCACTGGACCACCAGGGAAGTCCCTATAATTGTCTTCTTTTTTCAACTATGTTATATGAAGAACGGGGAAAACATGTAGCAATTTAACTGTTAAAGTATTTTTATAGCTAAAAAGTATTTTTATAGCTAATTCTATCTTCACAGGTTGTTATAAAATATATTGATACATTATATATTTAAACATTTACATTTTTTCTTATTACCAAAATCTGTGTATATATAAATATTGTGGGTTTGTGTGTCTGTGTGTATATATGCCACACACACACACACACACACTCACACACACACTGAATGCAGTGCTCTTGTGTTTGTTTTCCCTTTTTCCCAGGCTATTTTTCATTTTCATCCAGATTTTTACATACTTAAATGCGTCAGCATATCTGCTATCATAGGCCGTTTATATCAATGATATGTTCTTTAGTTTTACTGCTATCTCTTAATAAAATTACATAAAACTGTTTGTAAGTTGTCTATTCTTTTCCTACTCATCTCTCTACGCGTGTGCCAAATCTCATGTCATTCTGCCTTCACAGATAATCATTGCTCTATCGTATCTTCTCCCAAATTTCTTTGAGCTAAATAACATTTTCCTACTAACAACATATTTTTTTAATCAGCCATTTTTCTTATTCTGATATCCTTCATTTACTAGATTATGATCATGCCATTTACATGGCATCATTACTACATCATTCTTTTTAATAGCATATAGTATTCAGATAATGAATGTACATCGATTTATTAAATCCCATTGGAAAACATTTAGACTTTTAATTTTGTCCCTTATAAGCTGCATCAAGTTTCCGAGATCATGCATCTGTGCATTTGTGCCAGTATTCCTGGATGACTGAGTTGCTGGACCACAGGGCACACACTTTAAAAATTGACAGATATTGCCAGATTGCCTCATTTGGCAGGATGGAGGAGGGGGATGTATTGACTTGTACTCCACATCCAGCTGTGTTTATAACTTAGAAATATGTCAAGAGTCTTGAAAACAGTTATGCCCTAAATCCAGCATTTCTGCTTCCGAGAAATTTATCTTAAGGCAATCATAGACCTGGAAAAATGTACACATAAGGATAGTCAATCCAGCATTATTTAAATAAAAAAAAGGAAACAACCTTTACACGAATGTTCGTGGGAGCTTTCTTTGTAACATATAAAAGCTAGAAACCACCCAGATATTCTTCAACAAATGAATGGTTAAATGTTATGAGTGGTTAAACATTCATACTGTGAACACTACTCAGCTATTAAAAGGAATGCACTACTGATACATGCAACCACATAAATGAAGATCCAGGATGTTATGCCCAGGAAAAAAGTCAATCCCAAAAGGTTACATATTATATAATTCCATTTATGTAACACTCTTGAATTGACAAAATTATAAAAACAGAACAGATCTGTGGTTGACAGAAGTCTGGGTGGGGAGGGTAGAGTGGGGAGGAAGGAAATGGGTGTGGCTATAAAGGGGCAATAGTAATCCTTATGGTGACAAAAATGTTCTGTATCTCAACTATATCAATGTCAAATCCTGCAGGATGTTACCATTCGTGAAAACCAGGTTAAAAAGTACTTTGGTTTCTCTGTACTATTCCCTATAACTGCATGTGAATCTACAATTATCTCAGCATTGAAAGTTTAACTAAAAATAAATTTAAGAAGCAGGATAAAGAGAAAAAATACTGATGTCAGAGCTCCAATCCTGAGATTGTAATTAATTGTTCCAAAATGCATCTGGGCTGATAGTTTTGTTTGTTTTGTTTTTAAAGCAACTCAGAGGATGATAATGCATAGTCAAGGTTAAGAAGCACTGTTCTAAATGCTGTCACTGACTCAGTTTTAAAAGCATAAAAAGCAAATGGTAGACTGAACCATGATTGGGGGTTTGTAGGATGAATGCACCGAAAAGACATAAAAAGGGAGGTCTATAGGCAGAAACAGAGGAGAGAACTGGAGCAAAGGAAGAAAACTGTCCCAGAACCCTGTGATGCCATGGAAAGGCTTGGGTGTGAAAGTGGGAACTATCCACAGATCTTAGTTACATTTCCCCCAATACACCTTCCCACTGAATGCTCACCTATGCTAAGTAGGTAGGTGGGTTACTGCCATTACCTTTCTACAAACGATAAAGCTAAGGTCACAGAAGTTACATAACATGCCCAAGATCACATGGCTACTTCCTGACAGAGCCAGGATTAACAATGCCTCAGTTTCACTTAGCTTTGGCTTACGTAAACATTTTTTTAAAAACCAAGATTTTACTAAGTTATGAAAGCACAGAAAATTAAACATCTGGTGGTTCAAACTGATGTTCTAAGTATTCTCTGAAATCTTCTCTAGACCTCTGTCAATTAAATACATATAACAGTAAAATGTTTATGCAGATCCTTCAGCTTTTAGAGAAAGTATCTTAGAATGTAAGAAAATTTTAAAATAATTATTTAACTTCAAAAGTACATACAGCACTTCTAAGCAAGATGGAAGATAAAAGGTTCAAAATATGGAAAAGAGTTATCCATACTGACCTAGTTCAACAGGGTTTTCCAGATGCAGCAAGCATATATCATCATTGGGAGGAAATTGTGTGAAGCTGGGGTGAGTGTATACAGCTTTCACTGGTATCAAATCTCTATTTCCTGTGTTCCACAGGTAACTTCTTCCTATTACCAGGTTGTCTGTGACAGTACTTGTCATAAGAAAAGGGAGTGAGGAAATAGATACCACTTTTAATGAGGTCATCACTTTTCAGAATTACTAAGAATGTATTCTTTAACATTTTTTTTGCTTCTATACTCCAATTATATTGATGCCAAAATCTATTCCCCAAAACTTTCTTTTAATCCACATTAATAACCTTATTATCCTGAATTCTTAGAAAATGGGAGTTTCTGATTAATTCAATCCTTGAGAAAATTTTTAAAGTATCTACTTTCTTGCCTTCATAACATCAAATAAAATGATTTAGTACAATATATTTTTGACAATTAAGATTCATGATGCCTCAAGATAATGATTTTATGTATTATAATCATTATGCATTATATGATGTACTTATGTGATGGTCACTGAAACTATCCTAAAAGTTATAGTGACTCTACTCCCTAATACGATGTTTCTCAAAGAAATGTCTAGGGACCACATGCATTAAATCTGGCATGTGTATTAAGAATGCAGAATCCCAGACATAACTCAGTAAATCAAATTTCAGTATTAACATTCTAAGATTCTGTTTATAGCAAACTCCCCAGGTAAGTTTAAGCACATGAAAGCCTGAAAACTACCCTAATAAGGATGCCTTCTTTTGATTTAGCTATATCAAAAGTAAGACTTGGGGAATGCTAAAGAAATTGAGTTTTGGGTTCATTGAAGCTTCCTGCTCACCATGTTATTTGAGCAGATGCTTTCATTATAAAGCCAATTTTAGAGACCCTGAAAATTTCATATCTACTCATTCAGCTATGGGACATTGTATGACAATGTCAACTGTCTCACTACTTCTGGGAGATAATATTAAAAACGTCAAGCTAAGACTCCTTTGAGGAAGGAGTTTTCAGATATTTCCATACTACACTGAGACCAAGATTCAGATAAAGTCAAAGAAAAAAAAATGTTCCTTTAAAGGACATTCTTTAAAATTCTTTGAAACTTTACACATTTATTTCAGGACTGGGGATGATCATCAGACAGTCCGTAGAGGAGAGCAAGGAGGAAAGGAAGCCACATTTGAGCAACCCCTCGGCTCTGGGCACCATGCTGAGAGACTGATGCAAAAATGTTGAGACATCATTACCTTCATCTCTATGGATGGGGGGCGGGTATTGTTAGTTACTTATTAATTAAATTATACCTAGAAGCAGGAAGCTGCTTTTAAAATGAAAAGCTATTAGTAGTAAGTGTATTAGTGTAGCACAGAAAGTTTCATAAACCTAACACGTTCATTCATTTGCAAGATGGGGACTGTATCAGTGGGAGCTGATGCTTAATGTTTCTTGTGACATGGGGAGAACAGAAGGAGTGCACCCGCTGTGGACCCTCAAATAGCTCCGCACCGCCCTGCTGTCCCCAACCCTGCACCACTTGGGCACACACCTGAAGTTGCAGTGTGCCGCTGTCAGGACCCACTGTCTCCCAATCAGAGCACCTCCACAGTAATGCTGTCCTTGGTACTGCAGACTGACCAGCCAGGGCCACGACATCGCAGGGGCGGCATGGCCACCAACCACCCTGGGCTTCCCAAGCTTGGCTGGCAACACGTTTGTATTCCTCTCAGATCCTTCCATGAGAAATGGGTCAACAACAGGAATTCCACATTTGTCTTGGGCTGGCTGTCTTCTGGTATTGTTTTCTACTGTTAGCCCTTAGAAAAGTAACAACAAAACATCAGATAGCAATACTTGTGAAAGTCTATTAAAATCTCAGAATGAAGCATTTATTTCTTTTGTAGGTTCAAAACTAGGATTCTTTGCAAGAGATGAGACTCATCTTTTCTTCCATTGCTTTTAAATGAGTAAAAATCAATAGTTAACTAAAGCATTAATATATACGTCTTTAGATGAATCAGAACACAAATCAATTTTTAAAAAAGTATTGCACTTAATCATGAAATTACTGGAAATTGTTCTTTCTGTGGCATCATTTGTGTTATCCCAGTATAACACATCAAAATACTTGAAAATAAAATGTTTATATAAAGGAAAAGCATAGGGGAAATTTCTACCGATGTGTTTACTCCATTCTCAGATTTATAAAGAAATTTACCAGGGAATAACAAGAGACTTAAATATAAAGAAAATTAAGCCTCTTCATAGCCATATAATTTCAGAATGATAAGATATGATCACTTGTGAATTCTTTACTTGAGATTTTTTTTTTTACACTAGAAATCTATTTAAAACAAAAAGTTTCTAGCATAGTGGATTTGTGTTTATTCAATCCTTATGTCAAAACTCATTTCTAATTTCTTTTCAGATATGTATAACACATGGATTCCCTCTTCCTTTTAAATACATATGCCTAAAAAATATGTAGACTCTTCAGAATTAAGATTATCCTAGATTTTAGGGAGAAAAAACCCACAAAAGGTATTTACTCAAACATGTTTTTAGTGCATTAAGGTTTACTGCATTACTGCATGTTTTTTATTGCATTTGTAATCCACATTATATGTAGTAACTCAGACTTTTGGGCTGTTTGTACACATGTATAACAGCAATATTTTATTAGTATTCAACTTACTTTAAAATACTTAAAAAAAGAAATGAGGCTAAATATTTTTAGTGTGAGAATAAAGGGTCAGTTTAGAGATATAGTGATGAAAGACAAAAGCAATGGACACAGAAGAAGGGTCAATTGGGCGAGCATCCCTTTAACAATTAAAAATCACACCTATAGGATGATGTGGTTCAGTAGTCTACAGCTCAAATCCAGGACTCTTAGGAGAGCCCATTCATTCCACTATCCTAGGAAAGATAGAGTGACATCAAAAAGAACTTTGCATTCACGTGGATTAAATTCTTCCTGCAATTACACTCCAATCAAGAAAATCTCCTAGTAATAGATTCATTAGGTTTCTTAGTCTTAAGCACAATGGAATCCTAGCTTAAAATTAGATAGGATAAGTAGATAAAAATCAGCACATTTGTTTCTATTTTATGCAGAGAAGTTAGTATAGGTTCAGCTAAAATATTCCTTTTGAGGGCTCTTCCTGGGGGTGGGGAGGCGGTTACTTAATAAAAGATATGTTAACAGAGACATGGAAACACACTGAACTCTACCCTTGTTTCAGCCTGAATGGCCCTAGTGGATCTTTTAAATAGCAACTGACTGACTTTTATGTTTATCATTATTTCTTAAATAAAAATAACACACACATATAGACACATACCCCAATTAACCTTATTACCTCACATGATCTACCTGAACCACCAAATTCTCATGACTTAAGGAATGGTTGGAAATGAAGTTATCCTATTTTTAGTATTAGAGCAAGGTGACTGACTACCAATGACTCCTAAATCAGTGGGCCCCAGGTTCTACTTTAAGGCATATATGGTACCTGCTTTAATAAATGTTTTAAAAAAATTTCTTACCATTAATAGGCAGTTGGATCCCAATATTGCTTGTCTGTGATTGCTTCTGAGTCATATCTTGCAAAATAAGTTTAAAACCTCTTTCTCCCACAGATTCATCAGTCTTAAAATTCACAGTTAGGTAAGCACCACTGGATATCAAGACAAATTCTTTCTTGGAGCCACATAAATGAGCTGCAATGTGAGATATACTCGATAATTAAAATACTTTTCCTGTGTAGTTACATAGGTAAATGAGGGAGAAGAGAGAGAGGGTTCATTAAATTCCAAACAAATCCTGACAAAGGAATGATTATCAATAATGTAAGATCAAGATTTGTGGGATGAAATTCATGATTTGATTGAAACGATAAAAGGGTATAGATTTTAAAAGATAAAGGGAAAAGACTGGGCTAGCAATTGATATGGAAATGATATATAATTATATGGCAATCTTTCGTCATAAGAATAGGTAGAGGCATTTCAATGAAGATAAATGGACAGAGAAATAGAAGTAATGGAACAGCACGATGGCCCGAAAGTTTGCATACTCCCAAAGTTCATATGTAGAAACCCTAATCCCCAATGTGATGGTAGTAGGTGAGGCCTTTGAGAGGTGATTTGATTATGAGGGTGAAGCCTTATAAACCCTTATAAAAGAGACCCCAGAGAGCTCTCAACCACCCCCACCCCCGCTTTTTTTTTTGCCATGTGAGGATATAGCAAGAAGACGGCTATGAACCACGAAGCAAGCCCTCACCAGACACCAAATTTGGACTTCTAGTCTTCAGAACTGTGAGAAATAAATGTTTGTTATTTAAGCTACCCAAACTATGGCATTTTTGTTATAGTAGCCAAAACTGATGAAGACACATAGGCTGCCTAAATACAGACTAATGATGATCCTTTCCTAATTCAGAAACACAAAAGTTGTCACAAAGATGGTCCTGATAGTGACAGGCCATTTGCTGTAATTTATCTGCACAGGCTGTAACTTAAATTCTCTCAAAATAAAACAATGATACACTACTGATTTCTCTTAAAGATAATGTTATCTCAGAAATCTGAGAAAGATAGGGAATAGGGCAATAGTTAATCTCTACATCATTCTTCTGCTCAGAGAATCTGTTTGGTGAATTGGATGTGATGGGGAACTTTTGGGATGCACCATGTCAAGTAAAGGCATTCTGCATAGAGTCAGCTAACACTCTGGAAGTTTTAAGATAATGGAAATGGGAAAATGTTACTCTGTTTTCAAAAAGGAGATTGGGGGTTGGCAGAGGGGGATGGGTAGGAGACAGAGAAAAACAAGGAGGCAGGAGGATTTCCAAAGTCTTGTATCAGTGGAGTAGTGTAGCTTAGTCCTTACAGGCTCAGATTCTATATCCAAACTACTGGTTTGGGCTAGTTCTGCCATTTATTAGCTATGTAGCCCTAGGCAAGTTATTTAACCTATCTCTCTGCCTCAATTTTCTCATCTGTATAATGGAGATTAAAAAAATACTCACATGGAATTATATGAAGTTGTATTTATGAAGCATTATAAGTGTTTGTTAAATAAAAATAAACCTCAGCAAAATTTTACAGCAAATTATTAGACAGATGGGTTTTGAACACTTGAAGAAGGAATCAGTGGTCACAAGCAACCAGCATGTGATCCTTTACATGCCATATTAAATTAACCTAATTTAATTTTTGGAAAGAGTTAATTAGATGGTGGCTAGGGAGAATGAGATAAACTTAATGAATCTTGATCTCAGTGAAGCACTTAATAGAGTACTTTATGATGTCCCTGTGAACAGATATAAAATGTAAGTGGATAATTATATGACAAGGAAGTTTCACAGCTGATTAAATAACCATACAATGTTAACCTGAAGGGAAGGTCTTAATGGTATGAAAATGGTTCTATCCTTGGTTTTGCAAAGTACAGTATTTCTATTAATGGCTTAGATAGAAATACAGAACATATTTACAAAATGTGTAGGTTTAAGATGGGTGGCTGAATGAGAAGGAACTAGGTTAAATATAGAATCTTAGTGATAATTTAGTTCAATCTTTCATATAACGTGGAGTTCCTTCTTTTTTTATTTTTTTTAAATTTATTTATTTTTGGCCGCGTTGGGTCTTCGTTGCTGTGTGCAGGCTTTCTCTAGTTGCGGCGAGCGGGCTTCTCATTGCGATGGCTTCTCTTGTTGTGGAGCACAGGCTCTAGGCACGTGAGCTTCAGTAGTTGTGGCTCGCGGGCTCTAGAGCGCAGGCTCAGTAGTTGTGGCACACAAGCTTAGTTGCTCTGCAGCATGTGGGATCTGCCCCGGACCAGGGATTGAACCCGTGTCCCCTGCATTGGCAGGCAGATTCTTAACCACTGTGCCACCACAGAAGCTCCTAACATGGAGTTCCTTCTAAAATACCCTTGGACATATGAAACCTGGATTTGAAGATATTACATGGAACTTATGAGCATTTTCTCTTTTTGAACAGTTCTAATTGCTTGACAGTTCTTGCTCATGTTGAATCAAAAGGCATCAGTGTGGGCTTCCCTGGTGGTGCAGTGGTTGAGAGTCTGCCTGCTGATTCAGGGGACACGGGTTTGTGCCCCGGTCCGGGAAGATCCCACATGCCGCGGAGCGGCTGGGCCCATGAGCCATGGCCGCTGAGCCTGTGCGTCCGGAGCCTGTGCTCCGCAACGGGGGAGGCCACAACAGTGAAAGGCCCGCGTACCGGAAAAAAAAAAAAAAAATGGCATCAGTGTAATGATGGCCACATGGTTAGTGGACTGGCCAAGGATATAAGTGTTTGAATCAGAATGCTTGGGCTTTAATCCAACTTTCTCTACTTACTAGTTATATCACTGGAGGCAAGTAACTCAATATATTTGTGTTTCCTTATATTTAAAATGAGGATAATGTAACCTACCTCCATATGACTATTAAGAAGATTAAGAGTTATAAGTTCTTAAGACTATGCCTGAATAATGGTAAACATTCAATAGCTATTAGATATTACTATAGGCAGAACAAGTTTCATACCTGGCCTGAGAGTCTCTATGAGAATTCCATAAATATTTGAAGGGGAGAAATTGTGATCCTTCTCTCTTCTCTAAGATAAATATGCCCAGGTGTCCACACCCTTCAGCATCCTGGTCATTATGTTCTGTGTTCCAGTTTGTTAATGTTCCTTAAAATTGTTGCTTGACCAAGGATGATATTTAATAACCAGTATGGCAGGAGCAACAGCCAGACAGACTGGACATTGACTATGACGATTTGTAAGACTGAGCTAGTGAATGCCAGCTCAGTGCCAACCCTAAATTTGACCACACAAGGGAACTTATTTCTTTTATCTTATCATTCTTTACCAACACTGCTCTGAAATTCTGTAATCATTTGAGACTTCTGAAATTTTGATTTCAAACATCCTACTTTCTAAATCACCACTTCCTATCTATCCTAATCCATTAGTATTTCCCTGCTGTAATTGTTTGCTCTCTCCATGACCTTCTCACCATTAATCCCATAAACTTTCTATATCCATCACCCTCTAAGAAAGTGAGAGATTTTGCTGTCAGGAGAAGCAAAGAAATGGGGCAACAGCTAAATTTCTTGTTCTGTTTTGTTTTGAATTATGGGTAACGCTAGAATGTGTTTGCAACTGATGAGAATGATAGAGGAAATAGATGAAGTCAGAGAATGAATAACTTAAGGAAATTTATAGGAAGCTGACAACTCTCAAATTTCTATCTCAAGCCCAAACTTTAAGAGTTCTACTTGTAGCTCCCTGTTGCTAACTCAACCTAGATGTATCATGGCATTAAAAATTTAACATGGATAGATCTCTCCCCACAAATCTATTTCTCCCTCTAGTATTTCCCATCTCTGTAAATGCCACCACCTCCAAAAACCTCATACCATAACTTAGGAGCCATCCTTGATCTGCAGATTTAATGCCACTTTCAATCCATAAAGAAATCCTATCAGTTGTATCTCCAGATCTGTCCACGTCACTTGTACTCCTTTGTTGCCTTCCTCTTTCAAGGCAACATTATCTACTACCTAAAACAGTACTAATAGAACATTCTGCAATAATGTAAAGTTTAATATGAGTGCTGTCCAGTATGGTAAACTACATGTAGCAATTGAGCACTTGAAGTATGGCTAATACCACATTTCATTTCATTTTAACTAATTTGAATTTAAATGACAACATGGATTAGACATGGATTACAACATGGATTAGTGTAGGTCTAGATCACCATGATAGCCTCATAGTTGCAGACATAATTCACCCTGTCACCCTAAAATCTACTCCCAACATGGCAGTCATAGCAGCCCTCAACTTACTCCCCTGTCAAAAACCTTTAATGACCTCCCATTGGATTGGCATAAAATCCAAACTCCTTACCATAACCTGAGCTGCACAACGAGGCAAAGCCTCCATCTTCTACAACCTCACCTCACTCCAGTCTGTACTCACTCAATCTCCAGCAACTCTGATCTCTGACAGTTTCCTAAGTTCCCAAGCTCTTCCCACCTGCAAGGCCATTTTCTCACTTATTTTTTCATCAAATATTTACTAAGTGTTAGGAGTGCTCTAGACACTGGAGATACAGCAGTGAACAAGAGACTAAGTCCTGCTCTCAGGAAATTTTCATTCTGGTGTAG